CCACCCCCGAGAGTGATTGTGGGTGCGAGGGCGGCTATCCCCCTAGCAGGTCAGAGAAGGGCGCAGAGGGAATTTGATGAGAACCCGTCCCTGCCTGGCCCCTGGCCCTCTGCGTTGCCCCCTGGGCAGGGGAGGCAAGAAGCAGCATTGAAAGGGGTGGAGGCCAGGGAAGGCCTGGCAGGGATTCTGATGGGTGGTGGCTTTTTAAATGACCATTAACGCATCTGTGTCCTTTGCTCAGGCCGGCCCCCTGTCCCTCCCTCCCTCCCTCTCTGTTGGTGGAACGGCCCCTCCTGCAGACATGTGGGCAGAAATGGAGGAAGGGGGTGGGGGGGGCATAGACCTGAGGCCATACAGCCTGAGTGGCATGCCAGCCCTGCTGCCGGGTGCTGGGCACCGAGCCTCGTTTCCCAGGAAGCTGCCACCCTGTCTGTCTGTCCGTCCGCCCGCCGCCCTTTGTTTTCTTTCTCAATTGGGTCTTTTATGTTCCCCCCTTCCCCATTCACGCTGAGATCAAATGTCCCCGTGTCAGGTCCTGTGCCGTGTTGACCCAGGTCACTTCATTTCTGGCCCCTGTTCTCTCTCTTTCTCTCTCTCCCTGGCCCCTGTCCTCTCTCTCTCTCTCTCTCTGTCTCTGTCTCTCTCTCTCATACACGTCCTGAATAGGTGGCAGGAGAGCCAGCTTGCTCAGGTGTCCTTGGCCTCCTGCTGCAGGTGCTGGGTGGCAGGCATTGGCTCTTTGGGCCATGGGTCAGCGTGCTTGCAAATCAAACGCCTCGGCCTGATTCTGCCCCGCTCTCTCGGTGGCTTTACACTAGGAGCAAGGGGAAGGTCCAGGCGAGGGCAGGTGGGCGGGAAGGGGGGCAAACAGGTAGCTTGTAGGTCAGGCCCACAGGGAATCCCTTGAGAAGGGGTTCTCTCTCCCCAGAGAAGGGCATGATCACACCCAGGAGAGTCTGGCCCTCAGAACCTTATTTTTGTACCTGTGAGTAAACAACTATTTTTTTTTACAAAGAGAACTGAATTTATCCGCGTTTCGATGTTAAAGGGAACTGTGCCTCTGGAGTGATTATTTATTAGAAGGTGACTTCTCCAAGCCTGCTGCGGGCCTCGGTGTGCCTTCAGACACTGATGGGTTTGTACGTGCTCGGCAGGAGGCTGACCTGCCGGGAGCAAGCGTGGGTGAGGGCCTGCAGCGTCCAGTTAGGAGAGTGAGCTGGCTGGGCAACGGTGACCAGGGACGTCTGGGAGGCCCTGGCCTATGCCCTCCCTTCAGAGGGGCTTTGCCACACTGCCTGCCTCTGAGGGTGTGGTGACACCCTCTGAGATTAGTGGTGGGCTTGGGTGCAGGCCGCCTGGGCGGCCCTGAGCCCGCCCACTCTGCAGTGTGTGCAGTTGGCGCCGGTGTTTGGGGAGAAGGGTGCGGAGGAGAACGGGAGCCCAGGCTGGTGTCCATGCTGGGCCTACCCTGGCTCTCTCTTCTCCCGACCCCTGCGAGCCACAGGAGGCGGCCATGTGCCCCTTGACCACCTCAGCCCCTGACCGCTCCCAGACACGCGCGCGTGCACAAACGCTCAGAGAAACGTTTCAAACTCAACGTGTGGAATGTGCAGGGTTTTGTAAAGGGCGGGGCGGGGGTGGGGATGGGGGGGAGAGACCAAAAGTGAATATAACTTAAAATGAAAGTACTTTTTATAATTTTCCTTTTTAAAACTTTGTGAGATTCTCTCAGATAATGTATTTTAGTGTTGAAGCAGATTCGTCTACAGCCACCAAAAAAAAACAGTATTGTGTACAATTGGGGGCAGCCACAAAATTGTGTATTTTGTGTTACAATAAAGATTTCCTCTGAAGGGACATACCGAGTCCTGTTCTTATTCAGTGTGTGCCGCCGGTGGACAAGGAGGGCGTCCGTCACAGGGGGACGCCTGGAGGACTGACGGTCCTGGGGACCAGGCCAGCCCTGACTGCCTCGGAGCATTATCTTCTCCTCCTGCCCGCGCCGTGGCTCTGTCTCTTTTTGTCTTCATACTGTAGATTTGGGTGAGCGCTCACACACCAGACTAGGGTCCCGTTTAACGTCTCCAGTGACGCTGGTGATGTTTGTCATTCCTTCCGTGCACGTGCTATTCCTGTCATGCTCTGGAGAGTCGAGTTCTTTGTCTCCCAGCTTCCTGACTCCACACCCTTCCGATTGGAAAGGTCCCTGAGCCAAACACGGTGTGTGGGACATAACAGAGTTCCTGCCCTTGGGAGGCTACCAGGCAAGGCAAGGGGAGTCACACAGCCAGTGAGGGGGGCACGTTAGCCCGTGCCACACCAAAGGTCAGGAGAGAGGCCGGAGGGATGATAAAGGAAGGCCCCCCAAACTGTGAACGCATTCATTCCTTCCAAATGGGCAGTTCACAGATACGTACAACTGACAGCAGTCAATTTTGGAAGGTTTTCATCATCTCTGAAAGAAACGCTGTACCGCAAACCATCACCTGTGTCCTACCTGCCCAGCCATATGCAAATCGGCTTTGTCTCTACGGGTCACTGGCTTGTTTCACCCACAGTCAGTGGAATCGTGTGAACCTCTGGACTTTATGACTGGTTTCTTGCACGTCGCGTTTTGGGTCAAGGTGCTTCCGTTTGGTAGCATGCCTCAGCACTCCGTTCCTCTGTCCAAACAGCATTCCACCATACGCGTGGCGTGCGCTCTGTGTATCCCAGGGTTTCCAATCTGCTCAAAGCATTCTGTCACTGCCAGCGCAGACAAGGCCGGCATACAAGCTGCGTAGCAACCAAATATGCTGTTGTCAGTATTTTGATCTGAGAGGGAAACAGTGATGTCCCCCTCAAAGATAGCAGCCACCTGCTCTGCCCTCGGCGTGTGTGGCTCTCCAGACGCCTGCCAAGCAGCCAGTCTCCCGCAGCAGGCCCCGGGGACAGATGCTGGGGAATGGTCAGTGGCAGGACTTAGAACAGCAGGGTTGGCCTCACCGGGGCCCAGGTGCTTGCTTCCTACTCGATCACAATGCCACAGGAGGGTTGGCTGCGCCCATTTACCACAGTGATGAGTTCCACACGAACCACCGGGGCAGGTTTGAAGCCCAGGATGGTCCACTCCTCACTGTGGACATTGGGGTCATGTCTAGTCTTTGGGCTCGGAAGCACAGGTCACGCTGCTGTGAGGGTTGGGGATCAGGTCTTACTGCAGAGCCACGCCTTCCTTTCTCCGGAGTGGACATGGAGGAGGAGAACCCGCTGGGTCAGAGAGTCCGCTGTGGCTAACCGACCGAGGAATGGCTGAGCTGTTTCTCAAAGGTCGGCGCCATTTTCCCTTCTTATCAGCAAGGCAGACGGGTTCCAGGTTCTTCACGTGCTCGCCACACGCGTGGTCACCTGGCTTTTATTCTAGCCACCCGACAGGTCGCGAAGGAGCAGAGCGGCAGAAGAGGCAGGCCCCAGCAAGACGGCCTGACAGAGGGATGCCACAGGAGGCACCAACGTCACACCTGTCTGTGGTGCATATCTGTGACCAGACGCCACTCAATCAGCCACTTTAAATGGATGAACCGTGCGATTATGAATTACAAACCTGGTTTGAAAGAATAAGCGAAATATACTGTTTTGAAAGGCTCTAACCCCCGGTGTGGTGAGTTGTGCGTAGGGTCTGTAAAGCTTGCCAGTGGCCATCCGAATGCAGCAGTTGGCCTCGATGGTCTGGACTCCAGGGCTCAGGACCTCGTGAGCCAGTGCTTGCTCTGTCGGGCCCGGAAGAGCTAGATGGTGCCCAGCTGCCAGCACGGAATGTTCCAACCGGGGGCACAATCAGAGGGTCCTGCAAGAGAGGGGAACATGTGGATCAGCACCTTGGGCAGGAAGCTGCCCCCCCCCACCCCCACTTAGGGCAGGCTGATTGTCAGCCTGGGCTCAGGATTCCGCTTCAGGGGGGCCGAAGTGAAGACTTCATTTCCAACAAGCTCCCAGGTGAGCTACGTTGGAGCAGATGGTCCTGTGAGATTTAACTGGGAGGTCGAGATTTAACTGGGAGATCAAAAGGGAATGGGCTTTAGAAAGGTGAGGGACTTCCCATCTCTGGGCACTGCTTTCTCCGAGAAGGTCTGGGGGAGGCTTGCATTGGCAGCTGGGGGTGCCTGGGTGCTGAATGTATCTGCTTCTCCCCGCTGCGAGCACAGCCCCCAGCCCCTCCCACTGAGTTCCTGCGCACCTGTCTCAGCCCTGGGCTCGGAGGTAATGCCGCGTTCACACTTCCCCCTGCCGTCATTGTCAAGTTTCAGATGTGCTCGGCACCTGCTCCAGAGTTAGAGCTGCTGCGCGATAGGGCCTCTTCTGGACACTATTTCTCCTCCTTGCTCTGTACGTTTTGGGGGGCCACGTATTGGCCAGCACAACCTCCCATAAGCAGCTTGTCCCTTTAAGAGCCACTGCCCCACCCCTCAGTCCCTCCCCTCAGGCACCGGATTTCCGTGGAGTCCAGCCCTTTAAAGCCAACTCTTTGCTTTTCTGGCTGGATGTGTTCTGAGGCCCAAGAGGTGCAGGGGCCCTGGGGGCTGGAAATTGGGCAGCAGTGGGCTGTGACAAGTGTTGGCGGGGCTCAGGAGGGACCCAGCGCTGGGGAAAGGTGGGTCCTCAGAGAAAGCAGAGCCCCCTGGTAGTGGGTAAGAAATACAGTTTGCCTAGAGCCGGGTGCCAGGCTCTGTGGCAAGCCTTCTTTGTACATGGTCCCCCAGCGCCCTGTGTCCATTCACAGGTAAGAGAGCGGGGTCCCAGCACTTAACTGAACTACCCTGACAAACCAGTGGCAGAGCCAGGGTCTAAATTCAGGTCAGTGGGACGTTCTTGCCTCAGCAAGAACTTTTCCCCAGACGTCATTAGCCCTTGATTTTCCTGGGTGCAGAAGTGTAGGGAAGAAATGACTCACTCCCTGGTGCTCCCAACACCAGTACTCGGCCCCTTTCCTCCTCCCAGGAGCTGCTAGGAGATGCTGCTGTGGTCATTGCTGCTGCTCCTCTTGCTGCCGCCGCTGCTGCTGCTACTGCTGCTGCTGCTGCCATCCCAGGCTGCCAGGCTGTCATGGCTTGCCAGCCTCCAGCACCGTGTGGCATGGGGGGCTCTGGGCTGGGCAGCCGCTTGGCAGCAGCGGAGACTGGAACAGAGCACAAGACACGTGGGCCAGAGCCAGCAGCGGGCCCTGAGCAGGTGCCTGCAGGGTGCCCAGCGGTCCGGCTGCCCACCCAGGGGAAGCGCAGGTGTGTTCCATGTTGGGGGAGGATACCCAGAAAGAGGGCGATCCCCCCCGGACAGTCAGTCCCTGAGCCTGCACATGCACACATGCAGGGGCCTGACCCTGAGCCCTAACCCGGGCCCAGGCATAACCCTGGAGTTCAAAGTTAATTTGCCTGCCCTGGGCCCTCTGGCCTGCGAGCCTTCCCCAAGGGAATTCCGGTGTCTTTGGGGGCTACAGATGTTAGCACCTTCCAGAAGCGTTTCCCTCTAATCCGGGCCAGTCGGATCCAGGAGGAGAATGGAGGGCAACTTCGGGCACCGACCTCAAACCAGGGCCAGGGAGAAGCCTTTCTGCAGGTAAACTGGAAAGGCGCAGCCAACCGTGCCAACAGGTGGGCAAAGAAACCCTGAAGTGGGGCACCCCAGGGATCCAGCTCAGGGTTGACACCCTCCTTCTGTCTCCCTCCAGGCCACCTTGCTGGGTCTGACAGTCCTTAAAAAGGCCCACCCAGAGGTGCTGGCTCCAGGCAGCATTGCCCGTGTGACCCCTACATCCCCCTGGCCCAGCCCCCTCCCGTGGCCCCTGCGGGCTCTGGATCAGGCTGCCCTCCCAGGGGTTAAGGGCCCTGGGGCCCTGCTGCTGGAGGCGCTGAGGCGCCCTGGGCTGAGGGTGCTGGAGGCCGGGACCGCGGTGGAACTGCTGGACGTCTTCTTGGGCCTGGAGGCCGATGGGGAAGAGTGGGCTAAAGCAGTAGCTGCAGGGACTCCAGGAGCGCCGCTCCCCAGCCGGGCGGCAGAGCTGCAGCAGGCCCTGGAAGGAGGGCCCCGAGGACTGGCCCTCCGGCTCTGGCCAAAGCTGCAGGTGGTGGTCACTCTGGACTCAGGCGGCCAGGCCGAGGCGGTGGCTGCCCTGGGGGCCTTATGGTGCCAAGGGCTTACCTTCTTCTCACCTGGCTATGCTGCCTCTGGAGGTCAGCAGGGTTGTGGGGGTGGGGGGTGAGGGAGGGGCAGGGGCAGAGGTCACGGTCACACAGTTACAGGGAGGTGCCAGGGATAGAACTCTGCCCCACTGTGCCCTTGCATCCTCCCTAAGACCCTGTATGGTAGGGGTTAGCAGCTCCATTGTGTGGATGGAGGAACCAGCTCAGAGAGGTTAAGAGACTTGCCTAAACTCACACAGCACAGGATCGACCCACAGAGCCGCTACCTCTGGAACTGGGCAGGACAGAGTCGGGGAGCGGTGGGATCAGATACTCTGAGGATTGGGGTCCAGGGCAAGGGGTTTTGCCTTGCAGGATGCAAGTGCCCCACAGATGCTGAGGTGGCTGTTTGCTCCCCTAGGGGTGGTGGGCTTGAACCTGTGGCCAGAGCAGCCTCATGGACTCTACCTCCTCCCGCCGGGGATCCCCTTCACTGAGCTGCTACCAGTCCAGGAGGGAGTCCGGGGGGAGACTGACTCCACCGTCCTGCTGGCCGAGGCCCAGAGGGGTTCAGAATATGAGCTGGTGCTGACGGACCCCACCAGCCTTACCAGGTGACCACCTGGCCACTGCAGGCCCTCCGGGACCCTGGGAGGGTCAGGACCATGAGCTAAAGGGCCCTTGGGCCCGATGACAGCCCCCTACTATTCTCTCAGGTGCTGCCTGGGCGATGTGATCCAGGTGGTTGGTGCCCACAACCAGTGTCCCATTGTCAGGTTTGTCTACAGGTAGGTGTGTCTGCAGCCCTGGGAGGCCCAGCATGTATCCTTTGAGTCAGCTCCGCCTTGCCCACCTCCCCACCTTCTCCCCAGGCTGGGTCAGGCTCTGAGTGTGCGTGGGGAAAACATGGCCGAGGACGTGTTCTCCGAGGCCCTGCGCCGGGCAGTGGGGCAGTGGCCGGGGGCCAAGCTGCTGGACCATGTCTGTGTGGAGAGCAGCATTCTGGGTAAGCTGCTCCCCTGCGCTCCGGCCTCCCAGCCTGCTGAGAGATATCTCGGAAGGAAAGAAGGCTCAGTCTCCCTCGCTGCTCCTAACCAAAGCCCCTTCTCCTGGCTGACTCCCTTTCCTCTTGCTAGTTCCCACCCAGGATTAGACGGCAGGTTCTCCCTTACCCCGCTCCCCACCCAGAAACTCCTTTTTGTCCCTGTGAACCTCAGATTGGGGGCGGGGGGTGGGGGGTGTTGCAGGACACTGGCCTGGGAAGCTGCCCATTGCCAAGAAGTGTGTATGGGGGTGGGGTGGGGTCTGTCCCCAGACTCTTCACAGGGCTCTGCGCCCCACTATGAGGTGTTTGTGGAGCTGAGGGGGCTCAGGAATCTGTCGGAGGAACATCGAGACAAGGTATGCGACCAGAGATCAGGTCAGTCTGGCTGCATGTCCCCTTCGAGGTGCTGTGGGAAGGAGAGGGGGGAGATGGGGAGAGAGAGACAGAAGAGAGGCCCCTCCCTGGGGCTCTGGGTAAAGAAGGATGAGATGCACGCCCGTCCACTCGCCTGCCCACTGGGCCTCACTCCAGCCTTCTCCTTCCAGTTGGACCACTGTCTTCAGAGCGCCTCTCCTAGCTACAAGTCACTGCGGTTCCGGGGCAGCGTGGGCCTTGCCAGAGTCCACCTGGTGGGACGGGGGACCTTCAGAGCACTCCGGGAGGCCCTCACTGCCGCCCCTTCCTCCCCCTTCCCTCCTGAGATGCCCCGGGTCCTTAGACACAGAGACCTGGCCCAGGTCCTGCAGAGGAGAGTCGTGTCCTGAGCCAGGCCTGCCCATCACCCTGGCCCCCTTCCAAGGCCACCTCGTTCTTTTCTCTGGGGTCTCACTGGATGCGATGGTGGAGGGAGCTCTCGGCTAGGTTCTCTGAGTCCCCTGACTATGTGCTGCAGAGCTGCCGGCCTTGAGGGGAGCCTAGCCCACCCAGTCTATCCTGAGGGCACAGACGCCAGCCGGCCCCTGGCCCCAGCCTCCTGAAGGACATTCCAAGAAAGTTCCCTTGCACGCTTTGCCTACATTCTCTGGCCACAGTGGCTGGCTTGGCTAGTGCACTGGGCAGCCTGGGAAGTACGGGGTAACTGATGTCGTCAGAAGCTGCCTCCGTCAGGTCAGTGGGCAGCACGAGCTGGTGACTCAAGAGCTGGTGTCTCCCACCCAGTTGAGCAGAAGCCCGTCCCCGGTCCCCCACTGCAGTGATCTACTCAGCCAGCACCCCTACTGCTTGTCCCCTCTTCACTGCCCACCCTCCTCTCACCGTGTGCCCGGGGCCCACCTCCCAATAAAGCACCGGCACCCATTCTGGACTTGGCTCAGCTTCTGTGGAAAAGGGGTGCTGTCCCACTAGCTTTGCTGCCGCCCCAGTCTGGGCTCTCCCGTTACCCCCTAGGGCTCGGGGCCTTCCCCCCACTCTCTGAACTGGACTGTACTAGGTCCTGGAGTAGACCCCCAGGAGTTCCCAGGACCCTCCCACAGCCTTGGCTAACCCAGCCCACAGTCAACCCCTTCCTGGCCTCACACCCATAGATCACCGGACTTCAGATCACAAAATATCTCCATTGAAACCATGTGGGTTACCTGTCCATTGACCCGAGGGGACACTGGGCCTCAACAAGGCAGGGCGGCTCCCCCCATCCCTGATTGGCTGCTAAGCCCTGACTCAACCTGTGAATCATTTCTTGGGCCCATATCCTCACAGCCTGCCCTCACCCACCCTGCCCTTGACCTCAGCCTGCTCAAACCTTCCCCACCACTCCACGTGCCCAGAGGATTAAGACTGGGTCAGCCGGGCCCCTGAGAGGCTCTGACTCAACCGTCACTCCCAGTCCGGTCACCTCTCCCTACTTCCCTTGAGGGGAACCTGGACTCTGGGGCCATGCCCTCCAGACATGGACTGAGCACTGTCACAGCTCAGCCAGGTGCTCCTGGGGAATTCCTGCTCCTCACACCTGGGCTGCAGCCTCAGACTCGTGGTGATGCACTGCCGGATCCTGAGCCATCCACGGGATCAGCCGCTGATGGGTCTGCCAGGAACCCTAGGCTCTCCGTTGGCTGATTTTCTTTCTAGTCTGTCTGAGTTTGGAATCTCCGGTGAAACCCACTTAGCATCCCAGCCACACACCTGCCTGCAGGCACAGACACAGGGTAGCTACACGAGGGAGGTGCGTGGGGCCAGGGGTCAGCCCTGGCTTCCTGCAAGGGCAGTGGGACTCCTCCCCACTGGATCTTAATGGAAAATACCACGTCATGCAAGGGCTTTGAAGACCCCCGCCTACTTAGGGCATGAGTGATGGCTCCATTTGGCTGTACATATCTGCCCATGTCCCTCCTTGGACTGTCACTCTGCCCAGGCGGCCTTCCACCTGGACTTGTGAACTAACCCCTTGAAAGCTGGAGCCAGGTCTTACTCGTGCCGTCATTACTGTGCCCGGTGCCACAGTGCATCCAGGGCCTTGAATAAGAGGAGCTGACCCTGGGGTGGGACAGATGGCCCAGGTGAAGGTCAGGAGCAGAGAGGGCACAGCCGGTTAGCCTTCCTCTCCCACTACAGCCCAGGCTGGGGATTCACAGAGGCTGGTGAAAGGGGCAGATGGGAGGAAGAGAATGGGCATGGGCATGGGGGAGGGGGAAGAGACAGCTTAGAGCAGACCCCAGGGGCAGCGACAAGGAGCAACAGAGCCACCTGTAGTCTGCCCACCCTCCTCCCTTCCTGCCCTCCCTTGTGCAGTCTGTGGAGCTTCCGATGGCTTCTTTTGCTCCTCATTAGCAGCTGCCCCCCTCCCATTGTTCCAGGCCAGCGCCCCAGCCAAGGCTGCTTTTGTGCTCCGGGATTCCTGTGTGCAAGGTGGCCTCGTTAGTGCCTGGAGACCGGCCATCTCCAGGGAGCAAACGACTGACATGGGGCCCAGGGACCCAACTGCGGCCATTCCTTGGGCCCAGCCTGGAGACGGCCCCCGCCTGGGAGGCTAATCTTAGCCTGGCCTTTGTCTGGCCCGAGTGGACGCAAGCACCCCTCTCTCCCACGCCATCTCGGAGCACTATAAACTCCAGACCCTGTTTGCAGGTCAGCCAACGGTCTCAAGATTCCTGGCTATTTGGACCACTGCAGACACCACCTGTCCCTGCCACCCCACTTGAGCTTCGGACACCATGAGCCCTCCCTCCGCAAAGGTAAAGCCCCAGAGACCCCAGGGTGACCCAGAGAGGGCACTCGCTCAGTGCTGGGAGACAGGGTTGAGATGTCTCTACTCTAGACCTTTCCCCTTGGGCTCTGAGGCAGGCACAGGGCGGCTTTTAGCCAGAACCGTCCTCGGCTAACATTGGGTCCAGCCCTGTTCTCCAAAGAACTCATGATTCTTCATCCCTCCAACAGCCCCCTGTCGTTGGAATCCTTTAACGGAAGGTCACAGAGCGGAACTGCATCCATAGTGAGGGTGGGAAACTGGTAAAGGCAGATCTTGTTCCTGCCCCCAGGGAGCCAGCTCAGGGGACACAGCTTGGAGCCCTGCCATCCTGGCCCGGCTGTCCACCTGGTTACTGCTCTGTGGGGAACCAGTGGCTATTTCTAAACCATGACCCAAACAAAACAAAAAATCCCACTGCCATCCGACTCAATGACCCTGTATAGGGTTTCGAGCCTTTAAATTCTCTATGGGAGCAAACAGCCTCATCTTATCTTTCTCCAGCCCCTCCACGTGACTGATGAGTTTGAACCTTCCACTCTGTGGTTAGCAGTGCAACACTTAACCCACTGCACCACCAGGGACCCCACTAAGCCATGACGTGGGGCACTAAATAGGTCATCTGTTTTCCTTGAGCTTTCGAACACCCCCCATTCCGAGGTGGAATGGCAATGGGCTAGGGGTACAATGGACTAAAGGTACCCCGAGAAAAAAGCCAGGGAGTCCTTCCGCCCAGGAGGTCTCAAAGGGCTTCGTGGAAGAGGTGTCAAGCTGGGCCTGGGTGGAGCCCGGTCTCCAAAGATCTCATCAGACAGAGTGGAGCCCGAGCTAGGGCGCAGAGGCTCAGAGGAGCGCCGGCCAGCAGGGGGCGCTGGACCAGCAGGGCCTGGGCTCGGGGACTGGTGGTGGCACCGTAGGCCGGCCCCTCGCTCCCCGTCTGCCGCCTCCCT